TATATACACATTTGCTATAACACATGCTGCAGAGAGGGTGCACCTCAACGGAGTTCAGGAGTCGAGGAACCCCAAAAGCGCGCGGATGCTTGGCCCCTTCCTGATTCTGGCCCCGGGGGCTCGCGAGGGAATCTGGGTTGCTTGTTTTGGATTAATCTCGAGGGGCTGTTAGTCGAAGCTAAAGGCCACCTTCATTCGGAATGATGTCGCTGCGTTGCGCGGTGGCCCACGTAGGTTGGTAGCGGCCGTCGACTCCGATGTTTCCTAGGCCCGCGCGGCTGCGATTCGCGCGTCCCGCGCGCCGCGCGAAGCTCGAGCGCTTCGGGGACCTCGGGGCTCAACCGCAATTCTTTTTGGCAGGTGGGAGGTTTATCCGCCGAGGGCCGATGCTAACGCGCGAGTAGGTAATGCTTGTTCTGACTGGATAAGCAACCTAGGCCATGCGCAGATTGAGGGCGACCCAGGTGAGTCGTTTCATGTCTGCGCGTCGCAGGCACACCTCCACGTCGTCAACGTCAGGTTGGGGAGCGTGCGTGGGCGCGCAGATCTGGCCCAAAATCAAACGACACATCGAATCGGCGATGCGCTGTGCGCTGGGCAGCTCAGTGGAGCCGCTGGGAGAGTCAGGAATACATATGTACATGTATATATATATATACATATGTGAATATATACACACCTATACATATTTACATAATATAAACTATATGAGATTGGCTCATGTGTTTCGCAGAATGATTATATATCGGTGCAAGTTTACCTCGAGTGGGCCAGAAGGGCGACGGCCATCAAATCGCCCTACTCCCGAAACGACAGGGCCCAAACCAAGGACCCTAGGTGCGTTGAGTTTGTTAATGTGGTTTCGGAGCTTGAGGCCGGAGCAGGGAGGCCCATGGCCATCTCGCGGAGGTGGTGGAAGGGCCGCGTGATGCCGCGTCCCAAGCTCTTCCCTTGGAAGAGAGAGCAGCCCGTGCCTGCAACAGTTCATCCCCCACCCTCTCTCTCATCGGCCGCGAGGGGTGCCAGGCGTGCCGTGCAGAAAGCTTTGATAAAACAAGCTTTCGGTTCGTGAGGTTCCAGGAAGCGCGTTCTGAGACTCGTCGCAGGTCGCCTCCGCAGGGGTGGTTTGCCGCGGCGAGTATGGGTGGCATCGCTGACTGGAGCAAGCTGCGCCTTGAACTGTGCTCGACTCGAGGACGGAGATGTTCCTCAAGAGTAGATTGCGTATTGATGTCTTCCAGATTGCGCCGAGTGAATTTCACTTGGCGCCGCAGATGAAGCTCGCCGAGGGCGTGCGTCAGAGCGGGTCCCAATTCCCTGCGAAACAAACTCGAGGCGCCACGGTGGCCATCGACGGCTGCATTCTCGCAGGTGAGTGGTCGCCCCTGGACGGGGCCCTCAGGTTCGGGGGAAGGCTGCCAACAGAAGATTAAACCTCCCCTGACATGCGGGCCGAGCGGCCTCGACGCAGACTGAGATTGCGCACGTTGCCCAGGCTGCCAACGTGGAAGCCGCCAAACTCACCGGCCAGCAAGAGCCTCTTGAAGAGTATAACGCTTGCCGCGCGGCCCGCAGAGATAAGCCGCCCCCCCAGGCCGAGGCCCCCCCTTGCTCTTTCACGGCAAAGGCTGGCGAGGAAGAGCCCGGCGGACAAAGCCGTTGGCCTGGGCGAGATCATCGGGGATGTTGGCATCAGGGCTCAGGGACTGGTTGTTCGGCTCGCCTGCCCTCTGCCGCTCATAGCCGCTCTCCATCAGAGGGGGCCTCTGGGGTCCAAAAAGCGGGAAGATCGCCTCTTCTTGTTTTTCTTCGCAAAGGGATGGGATCCGCCGACGTCGCGCGCAATCAGGAAGGCGCTTCTCGGGGGCGCGATAGGCAAGCTTCATCGCGAGTCCCTCCGCATCGCTGCTGCGAGGTATGCGCAGAAAGCGTTGCTGCAGATTTACTGCGGAGGGCTTCCTGGGCGAGGATTGGAGAGCGCCATCCTGATGGTGCGACAACTCTGGAGCGCGGCGCGTGGATGCTCCATGTCTCCTGGGGGGGGGTCCTTGCGGGCCTGCGCGCGGCTTCCCATTCTTCCCCCGAGCAGGCGTGGCTCTCTCTCCCTGCCGAGCTGGGCAGGCTCGAAGATGCGCTCCGCCGCGTCGAGGCGCACCCCTTTCTTCGAGCGGTGTGGGTGGCCGAGCTGGCCACTGGAGGGCCTCTCGATAGCGCGGACATGCCCCCCCCCCCACCACACACACACACCTCCTCCACTTGATTGGGGGGCGCCAAACGGGAGAGGAAATTTCGGGCGCGCAAGGGGCGCGTCGGATTCTATGCCGCCCTGGCGCCACGCCTGCCGCGGACATGTTTAGTGACATTGTTGCCAGAGTTGATGGGGCGCATCGAGAACTTGGCCTTGTCCGAAGGACTCGGTTGGACCCCGCCACCTTCAGAGGCCCAGTTCGGCTCAGCTGTCGGCGGTGAAAACCCGCGCGCCAGCCTTTCCTTCGTGGGCGACCTCGCATCGCCCACCGCAGCCAGAGCAGCAGGTACCGACGACGCGCTTAATCGACTTGCGGAGAACATGTACACTGCTGCACCCCGGCATGGCTTCAGCCTCAACTCAAGCAGAACAGTTGGGTTCGCGTCGTCCAATGGAAGAAGGGCCCAGACTTGAAGCGACGACGCATTGCAGGGCAGGCGGCGGTTGCTTGGCGAGCGAGCTGTTCGATTTCAAGATAACCGTTGTTCACCGCCGCAGGATGCTGGGAGCTCGCGCCAATGGCTCAGGGCCCATGGGGCATGGGATAACGGAGCGGATAAGAGCGGCAAGGGCAGCACTTAGACCAAACAAGGCAGCGGTGGCACCATGCATGCAGGTGGCCTTCACGCACAAGGCGAGACACACTGAAATATATGCTGGGCACGAGTGCTTATAGGCAGCGGGCACCTGGGAGCCCTTGCCCGAGTATCCAAAGGCCAAGGCGATCACTTGGTGCATAAGCATCTGCCGAACACGCGTGAACCTCGGAGTCACAAGCTCGAGCGAGGTACAGGCAGCGATGACAAATGCATTGCTCAAACCTTTAAACAGGTTGCCATCCAGCTCGGTCCTGTCCGTTGCGAGGCGGCGATTGGTGCCTCGAGTTGTACATGGCGGCCGCCAATGTTGAGGCTGCTGGCGGACTCTCTATGAAACGGTGGATGGACCAGAATGTCGAGGAATGAATTTCATTGGCTGCGGTGCCTCATGGGGCCAGGAACAGACGTGTTTGGATTTGATGATGACGATGTTGTACGATTGGCTCGATTCAACACGGGCACATCTGAGGATCATCTCCAGATCAGTCAGCGCAACCAAACCAACATGGAGCATGCCATAGCAGGTCTTACAATGGGGGTCAGAACTCAGGCGCTGCTTCAGGTACACTCAACTGTATGACAGATTTGACATGCATGCGCAATGTTAAGCTTTTCGAGCCACACAGCCCATGGCATAATGATCTTGATGGCGAGGGGCAAGGGTGCTGAAGTTTCCCAGCGCCCCGGGCAGCTTGCCTTTTTGGCTGCGCCTGCACCGCCAGGCCCGCCACCTGGCGGATACGTTTGCCCTGGATGTGGCCGTGTGGCCAAGACGTTGCGTTCTTTCGCATCCACGACACCGAGGCTCCTCAAGGCCTTGACACCCCTGGAGCGACTGCCACTGGATCGAGGCGTCCGATTTGATGTTGGGAATTCTAGGATGGTGGCAGATTTCTGAAGCACCTCAGGGTGGCCCATTCGTGCTTCCACGCCTGGCTGAATTCCCCTTTGAGACCCACGGCCGAGGAGGTTGTGACAGCTGTCGATGAGAGGCGTATTAAGGCCAGGGGAACAAACGCCAATGCTTCTCCGACACTCGTGCCTGCATCCATGCTCAGAAATTGCAAGGAGCCCCTTTTAGACCCTTGATCAAGAGACCCAGAGAATTCCAAATTGTCCCTCCTCTTGCCCCTACTGACCTTGAGACGAACAGTTCGAGTTTGCCGTCCAACCCACTTGAGTTGAGAACACATGCGAGCTTTTTTCTACCTTGGTAGATTGGGAAGAAGATTATCCCCACCGGCGTGCGTTCAAGAACGCCTGCCACAAACGCAGTCTGTACCTCTCCACTGCTCAGTCCTTCCCTGTTTCCCAGGCGATCAAGGATTGGAGGAGAATTTCTGAGGGTAGTGTGGCCGCCCTTGTTTGGAACTTCCTTGTAGCTCGTGGAGAGATGCAGTGAGTTGAAGAGACGGCCACACGGGGGGACATCCACTCAACAACGACAAGGTGGTTGAACGAATAAGTCGCGATGCGTACCTCCAGGCCGCCATCGAATTGTGCCTCTCTTTTTTGTTTACATAGCATACCTGTTGCGCTTGTGTTGCCAAGAAGAGCTTACGGAGGACCCGATGTGTTATGGATTCCTGAAGTGGAGGTGCTGGTTAGGTTTCCTGGTTCACTCTGGTCCGATGTTGATGGTTGCTCATTTGGTGCCAGGCACTTGAATCCTTGCACTTTGGTTGCCCATGGTATTGTTTCCTTGGACCCCGTCTGTTCGGACTTCTGTCGTGGTATGTGTCCGCACACTTGTGTTCACAAGCGTCCTAAGACGATGGGCGAATGCTCGACCACTGCCACTCTTGTTGGACTGATCTCGGCCTTGCTCGCCGAAGCCGTGGGGTTAAGGACAGCATCTTTGTCACTTGAGCCGACCTCGTGACCTTCCCCTCCCTCTGCATGTGTATGTTAGGGGGTACTGTCTTCGCATGTCTCTCACCGATTAAGTTTGGGTTTCGAACCACTCAGGCCCTCAGTTAGCGAGCGAGGAGAAGGAGGGGGAGGAGGAGGGGGGGCAGGAGGAGGAGGAGGAGGAGGAGGAGGAGGAGGAGGAGGAGGAGGGGGAAAGGAGGGAGGGGCAGGAGAAGGAGGAGGGGGAGGAGGAGGAGGAGGGATGGTGGGGCTGGTGAAACGATACTGAACATACAATCGACCTCCGCGAGGCGCTGCCCCCGGGCAACGTGCGGGCGCGGGGCGTAGTAGCGGTCGCAGGCCACGAGCAGGGCCAGCGTCCAGGCCAGCAGGCCAGCAAGCGGCAGGAGGCTGCCCTCGCCAGGCCACTGCCCCAACAGCCCCATCGCCGCTCCGGGAGCGGGGGTCGCGAAAGGCGTCCAGGGAGCCCTCACAGGAGGAGCCGCTCCTCCTCCTCCTCCCTCCTCTCTCCTCCTCCTCCTCCTCCCTCCCACTCCTCCCTCCTCACTCCTCCTCCCCTCCCCCCCTCCCCCTCCCCCCCCCCTCCCCCCCCCCCCCCTCCCCACCCACCCCCCTCCCCCTTCCCCTCGAACTCCCCCTCCTACTCCCCCTCCTCCTCTCCTCCCTCCTCCCTCCTCCTCCTCCTCCTCCTCCTCCTCCTCCTCCTCCTCCTCCTCCTCCTCTCCTTAGAGGCCCCCCAGGAGGGGGGACCGCGCGCTGTCCTGTAGAGCCCTCCGTACCAAGACGGCACCCGGGACTGCCAGCAGGCCTCCAAGCGGCCCACACGAGCTCCCAGGAGGCCCTCTAAGAGACTCCCGAGAGGCACCCAAGATGCCCCACAGAGGCTGGCCCAAGGTGCCCTCAGCTCTTCGCTCCATCTTGGGGCCCCTGGGGCCCTCGTGAGGGGTGCGCTAGAGTCTAGAGGAGCAAAAAGCTGCATCAACAGAACTCTCGAGGTGAGCGCGGATTGCTGGGATCGGCATTGGACCCCCTTCCCTGGTGCGCGGAGCGCGCCAGGGGCGGCGCTGGAGGCGCCGCCAGGGCGCCAGGGGGGCCCAGCACGGATCCATGAAATCTGCGTGGTCCTCAGAGAAATCTTGCCAGCGTAGTTGTTGGCTCCTCGATGCTCTGGCTGGAGGCCAGCGCGGGGCCTCGCAGGAAATCCTGGGCACACCTTACCGGTGGCCAGAAAAAAAGTGTCCACACCCATGGCGCGAATACCATACCACATGATGATGAATCATCTTTTGTACAACATATGTTCCTCCCTCCTCCCCCCAAGCCCACAGTTGAAGTGTACACAGTTTGTCCTTCGCGCGTTGCCTCGCGCGTAGCGCTGGCAACTTTGGATGTGGGGAGGCGGGGGCGATCGTTTCTTTGGATGCACTTCGTCGTACCGCCGTCTTGGCGCGATGGGCGCGGGCACCTGTTTCGGGTAGAAGTAAGACCCGGGTTCGGGGGACTCAGGTTGGCCCGGCGAGGCCGTCCAGAAAACGTCAAGACCCAGCAGTCTGCAATTGGACGCGAGCTCCCGCTGCAAACATACCACGAAAACTGGACCGTCCAAATCCAGGACGGGCTCGCCAAAAAGCGGCAGCAAAAACCCGAGTTCCAGCGAACTCGAGCCTTGCGCAGCAGAAGAGAACGACAACAAACGACGCCATGACCATAAACTGTGGCCGCTCCGCGCGGCCCGAGGAGGAGGAGGAGGAGAAGGAGGAGGAGGAGGAGGAGGAGGAGGAGGAGGAGGAGGAGGGGGAGAGGCCCAGCGCGGCCCCGGCGCGGTTTGTGTGCTTCTGCCGCTTTGTGCTTCTCCGACGCGGGGCCGGGGACGCCTCGGGCAACACCCGGCAGGAAGGGGGGGCCCGCCCCGCCGAGAGTCGGGGATGGACAGACCTCCCTTTCGTATAACGTGGTTTAGTGAAAACGACCTCGGGCCCAAACCTGGGGGGCGCAAGCCTGGGAAATAACGGCCGCGGCGCCCTCTCGAGAACCGAAAACGGACAATTCACTAATCGACGCGTCACTGTTGGGGGTTCTGTCCACCCCCGAGAGAGGCCAGGGGCGACGCCGCAGGGCTGGCCCCTGGGGCGGGCTCGAGCCGCGGCGGCGGCCGTGGGAAAGAAACGGCGGGCAAGATCCTACGCAGGAGGCATCTACAGTCAACCCGTATCAGAAGGGTGCGCGGTAAGGATGCGGGGGCATTGGAGGCGCATGTGAACGTTTATCGATCGAGGTTGGCCAGCCAAAGCCGCTAATGATCGGCCGAAGGGCCACGGATGCAAGGGTACCCGTGTGAAGGCTGCCCATCCTTACTGTTCGGATTGACTCTATCCTCCACCACCGTGTCTGGCCGCGCCATCCTGGGTCCTTGCATGGTGTACACGCCTGCTGGCCGAGGCCAGGAGGGCCGATACACCATCGTGGGGCCCAGGACTGCCCTCGCCAGGCACGGCGGTGGTGTGTCGATGCCCTCCGCGGAGATTCATATCCACGTCCACGGACGTCGTCCAAATCTGACGGGGCGGATGTGTGGAAGGCATCATGCAACTGTTGCGCGCCGCGCGAGGCCTCCAGGATTCCCTCGCGGGAAAGCCCACAATACCCAGCACGCAACAAAAACACTAAAGTTCGTTGTGCGCTGAGCGCTTCCCAGGAAAATCTCAGGGGTCGCCAAGGGGTGCAGGGAACATTTATATCCACATCCACTGCGTCTTGGACTTCCTGGGAAGGGGCGCCACAATGCCGAGGCGCAGTGGATATGGACAGAAACCTAGCCCCTGGGGGCAAGACTTGTATCCATATCCACTGCGCCTCGGGTGTCTGGGGAAGGGAGCTCGAAGCTCCAAGACGCCGTGGATGTGGATGCGGACCTTGCCCGCAGGCACGGCGCGGGGCACGGGCGCTGGCCGCGAGATGCGCGAGGAACAGAAACCGGCATAAGCATCAGCTTGTGGCGGTCCGCGCGGATCTCTTGGTTCTGAGCTGGACCCCCCTCCCCTGGCGCGCGGAGCGCGCCATGGGCGGCGCCGGAGGCGCCGGCAGGGCGCTCCAGCGCAGATCCAATAAATCCGCGCGGGGCGCCAAAAGTTTATGGTTATACCGTGCTTTCTTTTTCGAGCCCGCCCAGCGCACGCTCCCAGGTCCCCTGGTCGCCGCCGCTGCGCCGCTGCTGCCGCCCCGGCCCGCATGGTGGAAGTCTTCCGCCTCTGAGCGCCTCCTCCTCCCCTTCCGCCCGCGGCCCCTTTGTCCTCCTCCCTCTCTTGCACACCGGAAGATTTGCTTCGTGGTGCCCCGGCTTCGCTCTTTCGCTGGTGCGGACTACCCAGCCTCGCCGCCGACGGGAAAAATAACAAAAAAAAAAAAGAGAAGAGTTCTTCTTCGAAGTGCGGGCAGGGGAGCCCACTTCTTCGCGAGACGAGGCCCTCCCGCCTGCCGCGTCCTGCAGCGGCTGGCAGCAGAGGAGAGGGTTGCTGAGGGGCAACGGGCCCTGGAGGGGAGACCAAGTGTCCAAACCCATGGCGCGAAGACCATACCGCATGATGATGAATCATATCTTATCCAACGTGATTTCCCCCCTCCTCCCCCACAAGCCCACAGTTGAAGTGTACACAGTTTGTCCTTCGCGCGTTGCCTCGCGCGTAGCTCTGGCAACTTCGGGTGTGGGGGGGAAGGGGCTATCGTTTCTTTGGATGCACTTCGTCGTACCGTCGTCTTGGCGCGATGGGCGCGGGCACCTGTTTCGGGCAGCATCTCCTCCCGCTCCCGCGGGGGTGCGGAGGGACCCCAGAACCCACGACGTCGTGGCTTTTCTCAACAACGTTGACACCCAGAGGTCTGGACCCCTCCCCCAAGAGAAGTTGATCATCCCTTGGCACGCCCGAATTGTGCACGGAACAACAATGGGCGCGATACCCAACAACACAGGTCGCCCCAAACCGGCATCGGCCGCTATTGCAGGGCAGGAGACTGTCTCCAACGGACCACGCCCGCGGAGACAGCGACGACGAGCCATGTTCGAAATATACAAAAACTGCCGTCGGTCATTCTCGGCACTCTTTCGTGTCTATCCCGTCGTGCCGAATCCCAGGTCGGCCTTTGAGGGCCACGGGACACGGAAAAGGGCTCCTCGGAAGCCGAGAACGGCCACAACGCCCTCCGCCGTGCTTTAATAGACAAGCGCGTTGCACTTCTCGCAAGGTAACTAGCAAATGGCCTGGGTCCGCCGCGAAGGGTTTACGATCCATTAAATAGACGAAGACATGTTTTTTGTTTTTCGGAAGTTTGCAAGTAGGCACTTTGCGAGTGGTGGAACGCGCTCGGTGATGTATGACTACCGGGGCTCGGGGAGGACTAGGAACGTCGGAGCTCAGGAAGGGCGAGGCGGGCACGTGGGGGCGGCCGAATCCCATAGGGCAGGACGGCACCAGCTGTATTCTTGCGCCGCGGTAGCGGCCCCTGCGACACGCTATGCCTAGGCTGATAGCGAGTCGCCCTGCTTCGTGGGACTGGGGGCCGGGAAAAGCTCGGAGCGTTGATGCTTGGGGTCTGGGACGTGCTTAACGTGTCGCGCCGAGGCGTGATGGGCACCATGCCGACGAGCGACGGCGTCGAGCCAGGGGGGGAGCGTGGAGGAGGAAGGAGGAGGAGTGAAGGGGAAGGGAGGAGTTCCCTTCTCGTCTCTCTTTCTGTCTCTCTCTCTCTCTCTCTCTTTGTCTCATGTTGTCTTGTACCTCTCTCGTACCTGCCTCCGACCTCGCCAGCCATGGGGGGCTGCGACCTGGGCATCTGTCGCCACTTTCGAAGGCTGCTGGGGGGGCCAGCACGGTGGGGCCATACCCTGACTCAGATTCGACCTCGCCACCCCTGGGGGGCACCACTGGGGGGCTGCGACCTACGAATTTGTCGCCACTTTCGAGGGCTGCTGGGGGGGCCAGCACAGTGGGGGCCAAATCCAGACTCAGATCAGACCTCGCCGCTCTTGGGGGGCTGCAACCTGCGAAACTGTCGCCAGTTTCGAGGGCTGCTGGGGGGGGCCAGCACAGTAGGGCCATGCCCAGACTCAGATTAGACCTCGCCGCCCCTGGGGGGCTGCGATCTGCAGAACTGTCGCCACTTTCGAGAGCTGCTGGGGGGGGAGGCGTAGTGGGGGCCCTATCCAGATTCAGATTAGACCTCGCCGCCCATGGGGGGCTACGATCTGCGAAAACCGACGCCACCTTCGAGGGTTGCTAGGCCCCCCATGCTGGTGTTTCAAGCTCCCCATCCGCATTCTCACCATTAGACCTTACCTTTCTTTCCTCCGACCTAGGGGGCTAACAAAACACCTCCATCGAGCCCTTGTCCATCGATCGGTGTCTTGCGAGTCGCCCAGCTCGCGGGCCCTCCAAGTATCGTTCACAGAATACATACTTCTTTGCATAAGCATCACGCCCTATAAGGTCTACCCAGCTTTTTTGGCCACACGTTGTGTGCCAGGGCTGAGTGCATCGTCTGGATCATTTGTTCATGAAATGTTCCCTCTGCGAAGGAAGGGAGGAGGGAGGAGGGAGGAGTGAGACGGGAGGAGAACCCAGAATCGGATCGATGAGTCGGATCGGTGATCGACATCAAATCGTACCAGCGGAAGTCGGCAATCAAGTCGGGAGAAGTCGAATCATCGGAAATCGGCAGACTAATAAGGCCTCCACAAAAAAAACGGAGATCCAGAGCGGAGTCCGAACCCGCAGCGAATCGGAATCGGAATCGATCGAAATCGAATCGAAATCGAATCGAATCGGGAGTCGACATGAGCTGAAGGAGGATGACGGAGGTGGGGAAACCAAATGTGCCCATACTACTACGCCCTGGACCGCTCCTGGGGTGCGTTCTGATCAGAATGTCGAGCCGAATCCAGCGGTGGCGACGAGGGCCTCGCAGGAGGCTCAAAAAAGCGAAAACGAGGGAAGGGTACGGGTATGGGGTATGGGTACTTTTTGCTCCTCTGGGGAGGTAGGGAAGCGAACGGCGGCGTCGACGCCGACGAGCGGCGGCGCCGAAAGCCGCGCGGGGGCCGCAAACAGGAGGAGGAGGAGGAGGAGGGCGAGGAGGAGGAGGAGCGAGGAGCGAGGAGGAGGAGCGAGCCGCGAGGAGCAAGGCGGAGTGATAAGACATGACAAGACGCGCTTGCGACCCGTGCCCTGACTTCCTTTCAAGCTCGCTATTCGACAAGAGGTAACACGCGGCCTGGCGAAATGATTGGATCTGCGCGAGGCTTGCGCTAAGCAGCCTCATCTCGGCCACCCTGCCGAGAGAGGCGAACGGCGGCGGCGGCCACGACGACGAGCGGCGGCGCCGAAAGCCGCGCGAAGGGCCGCCGCGAGGAGAAGGAGGCGGGCGAGGAGGGGCGAGGAGCGAGGAGGAGGGGGAGCGAGGCGCGAGGAGCCGGGCGGAGCGAGGCGCGAGGGAGGGAGGGGAGCGGGGGGGCGAGGAGGGAGCGAGGGAGGGAGGCGAACGGCGGCGGCGGCGGCGGCCACGACGACGAGCGGCGGCGCCGAAAGCCGCACGGAGGGGCCGCCGGCAGGAGGTCGCCCCGGGCGGCCCTCGGCAGGCCGCAGGCGGCCGCCAGGAGCGCCAGGGCGGTGGCCGCGCGCCGGGCGGCCATGGTCTGGGGCGCCGCGGGGGGGGGGGGGGCACCGCGTCTTGGCGCTCCTGCGCGCCTCGACCCTCGAGCCTCCTCGTGTCCCCTCGCCCCTCGAGGCTCGACCCTCGAGGCTCGACCCTCGCCCCTCGACCCCGGAGCCTCGAGCCTCGAGCCTCGAACCTCGATCATCGCCCCTTGCCCCTCGATCCCTCGATCCCTCGATCCCTCGATCCTCGATCCCTCGATCCTCGATCCTCGATTCTCGACCCTCGATCCTCGCCCCTCGACCCTCGACCCTGGATCCTCCACCCTCGATCCTCGATCCTCAATCCCTCGATCCTCGCCCCTCGTCCCTCGATGCCTCGATACCTCGGCCCTTGATCCCTCGATCCCCCGATCCTCGATCCTCGACCCGCTCGGCACTGCCCGTGGGCGCTGGGAATGCGGGCGCCGAGCGGCGCTGCCTGGGGCGACAGGAACGCGGGCAAGTGTCGTGTGCACATCCACTGCGCCTTGGCGTTTCGGCCTCACGTCCCGAGGAGGAGGGAGGAGGGGGAGGAGGGAGGAGGGAGGAGGGAGGAGGAGGGAGGAGGGAGGAGGGAGGAGGGAGGAGGGAGGAGGGAGGAGGGAGGAGGGGGAGGGAGGAGGAGGAGGAGGAGGAGGAGGAGGAGAGGAGGAGAGGAGGAGGAGGAGGAGGAGGAGGAGGAGGAGGAGGCGGAGGAGGAGGAGGAGGAGGAGGAGGAGGAGGGAGGAGGGGGAGGAGGGAGGAGGGAGGAGGGAGGAGGATTAGCTGGATTAGCTGAGCGCGGACCGCTGTCCTCGGCCCCGAAAGTCAACCAAAAACGGGAGGACAAACTCCCTCCAAACCCTCCACCACCACCAGGCCCACCCAGGCGGGCTGCGGGGATCTCGCCCGCTCGATGGCGGGTCCACGCCTCCTGCAGCAACATTGTCGCCTGGGCCTTCACGTCTGGAAGGAAAGGGAGGAAGGGAGGCCTACAGCGGGGAGGGAGCACGGCACGACGCATCGACGACACTCGACGACAGGATCAAACGCTCCCTCTCCGCCATAGCCGCCAAAATCGGCTTGGGGGGGCCTTCTCTTCGTGGAAAGCGCCCCTGACTCAATCGGTTTAAATTTTCCCTGCCCTACGCCGAAGGCCGAAGGGCCCCCGCAACGGTTCACCAACCCACGAGGGTCGATGGTGTGGTACCTGCCACAGGTACAACAAATCGAAAGGAACCATCGTGGGAAGAAACTCGTGCGATGGGAAACGTGAACCTCCGCAGCTGCAAGTCTAACCGCTGCGGGGGCCAGTGGGCAGGCCTCCACGCTCAAGGGGGGGCACGTGCACACGGGCTCTCAGCAAAACTCTGAAAGGCGGCGTCGGCCACCACCATGTTACAACGCAAACACACCCACTTCGACTCACACTTCCTCAGTTGGTGGGCCGACGTCGTTAGGATTCTGTCCCGCTTAGAAACTCTAGGCGCCGCCTCGGGGCGGGAAGATCTGGCGCGGGGCTCCGCAGCAGAGGCTTCGATCATCGCTCTGCGCGCTCGGCGGCGAATCAGCGCCGCCAGCGCGTCAACCTGATCCGTATCAGGCATATCCGCAAGAAAACCCCTCTCTCCCGCCAACTCCGACGCCCTCCCCGCCCACTGATCAGCAGTCATATTGCCACATGCATAGAACAGCTCAATAGGCGTCTCAAGCTGCTCTGGATGCTCATCTAAATGGGATGGGGTCCAGACCACAGTCAACTGATCTTTGTCCGACCTCGCTTCCCAAAGAACGCGCGCCTCAGTCCACAAGTCCTCGTTTTGGCCTCCTGGACGCGGGACCTCCAAGCGGTCCTTCCACGAACGGCAAATCGCCAAGTGATCAGCCACAAACGTCAACGGACCTTGGATCTCCGAAAGCGCCATCGAAAAAGCAAACACCTCCGCCCTAGGAACCGACTGTTTGTCCCCAGGCAAAGGTCGACACAACGCGGCACCTAAATCGAAACCCCCTTCGGTCGGTCGCAGCGCAGTGATCGCCGCTCCACACCTTCTCCTACGGGGGTCGTCCGAAAACTTGCCTCCTGAGCCGTCTCCAAAAATGTGGAGCTCCTCGCCCTGACGGCAACTCAAAAAATCCCCAGGGCCTCCGAGCCTTTCCTCCAATCCTCTAATCGCCTCCTCATCGAAGCGAGGGTGGGTAAGGTAGGAGGGAGGGAGGCCCCGAAGCCACAAGTTCGGTTCGGATTCATATCGAGCAATCGCTTGCTAAAACTGCGTGCGCTCAAAATCCTCATGACCTACATTACTCTCACAGGGCCAAATGCGATGGAAGAGAGACTCGGGGCATTTTCCGCAGCGGGCACACAAAGGCTCGACCTGGTAGCCCTCTTCCACCAACCTCTCCTTGTACCACTGACCAGCAGACACGACAGTGACGCTAGTTGCAACCAACTCAATCTGGTTAGCACGTTCCAGACGCTTCTGCTCTCGCACAATCTGATACATGTCGCCACCACCTGCCAAATCTTGACCAGCAATATGTTTTGAGGCCGCCCTCCAGAGAAATCCGCGAATGTCGGCCTCCGCATCCTCAAAGAGCGCCTGGAAACTGCCTGTCGGAGTGAATCCTGGGTCTCCAGCCGCTGGAATATCCCACTGGTCCACAGGGTCGTCATCACACTCCGTCGGTCGTAACCATGATGTTGCCGCAACTGGATCCCAGCCAATGTCCATCAGTGTGGCTATCATCACCGAAATCGGTCCGCGTACAGAGCTCCACCGCCGTACTCCAGCGCGTCGTAGTCGGTCACGTATACCACACCACGCTGCACAAACTCGTCCATGAAGGTGTGGGTTCCTCTGCCACATCGTTATCCATTCCATGATCACCTGAATGGGGATGTACACTGCTGGGTCCTCATCTGTCGGTTCGCAACCCAACGTCGTCGTGAGGCAACGGCCCTTGGCAGCACCACCAATCATGAACCCAGCCTGTCGTCGCAACTGCAATACCATCTGTCGACTCAGCCCAGCCACTTGATGACCATAGAGTGCCTGAAGTACCGCACCAGTACTCCACAGCGACCGTGAAATCTTTGACAAAGCTCCAATCCTTCGCAACCTGCGAATCTTGCTTGCTCTTCTACACGCACTCTTAATCCGTGTTCTCAACTTCCGTATCGATCGCTTGCGCCCCGCCGAAGTGTCCAAGCCCAAATCGACCGCCTCCGTGACAGCTGACACCGGTAGACCTCGAGCACGTAGTTGGCCCGCAACTCTCCTGGTGATGCTGGGATTCGAGCCAATCAACGGAGGAGGGAGGAGGAGGAGGAGGAGGAGGAGGAGGAGGAGGAGGAGGAGGAGGAGGAGGAGGAGGAGGAGGGGGAGGAGGAGGAGGAGGAGGAGGAGGAGGAGGAGGAGGAGGAGGAGCTGCGCCGCTTGTTTTCGGCCTCTCGGGGGGGGGGCCTTCGCCGCGCCTCGGAGGGCCGTCAAAAACAACGACGCAGAACGAAGCACACAGCGGCCCTGGGGAAGGGGTCCAAACCTTGAGAGTCCACGCATCGAACACTGGCAAGGGGAGGTTTAGGGCGTAAATCTCACCTTTTCTCTCTGGAGAAAAAGAGGTTTTGGGCGTAAGCTGCCCTTTCCTCTCCGGAAAGGGGAGGTCTAGGGCGTAAGCCTCCCCTTACGACCAGGTCCACATCAACTGCGTGTTGGCGTTTCGGGCTCCCTTCCCCAGAGACCAGAGGCGCAGTGGGTAGGAGAACAAATTCTGCTCCCCAAGAGCCATATCATATTTTTATCCGTGCCCACTGCGCCTCGGCCTTTTGGCGCCCCTCCCGAGAAATTCCAGGACGCCCCGGATATGGATGTAAATCTTGCCAGCCAAAACAAGTCATGGGGGGTCTTCGCAATTACAACTCATGGGACGCATAACGACATATCAGTACGTTGTGCCTCTTTTTGAGCCGCACGTCCGACCCGAACATCTAGTACACAAATGTTGTAGTAGATCGTTTCCCGAACGGCATAGTCACTAAGCGCCCACCACGGAGCTTATACTGTAAGATTTCCGAGCGTGTGTGTCGCCCTTGTGTGGCCGACGCACATATCGTTCAAGTGTGGTTGGGCGGTGCTGACAGGAAACAATTCCTGGGAGGTCCTCGTGAGAACGATTAATGACTACCGCCGTTAGCGGAATGAAGCGAATGCCCACCAATGAGAGCACAGATAGGGGCCCCTCTGGCATCCTGCATCCCAGAGTTGGCGGAAGGCCGCGCCGCAAAGGATCGCGAACGGGTGCAAAATAAACGCCCGCTCTTGCGAGGGCTCCGTCGCTACCCCCTCTGCCTTGACATGCGGGGGCGACAGGGAGGCGCTTCGATGTCGCGTTATCTAAACCCGACACGGGTGTTTATTTCGCAACCCACGGTGTTCAACCTGATTGGCGGGGACAGTCAGCAAGGTCAGACCAAAATACATTCGATAGCAAGCCAAATTGAGCCGGATTGAACGGGATTGAGCCGGCTTCAGCAGGACTTAGCCGGATTTGGCTGGTTTTCGACAGCGGCTCTACCAGTGCCGATGCTGAATTTAGCCTTCCAAGGATTGCATACTACGACGCGGGTCGGCACTTCGGCAGTCTGAGCTCGCACGGCAAAACTCAGGAAAATAGATATTATTAGATTCAGGTGCTACAATTTCCTTACTAGCGTTTCTAGCGTTTCGCTAGGATGTCCGTCTTCAAGGTCATTATTTCTCCTGGTGCCATCTGTCCATGCAACCGACCGCATCCACGATTCCTGCAAAGAGACAACTCCTGAACGCGGCTTTCGGTAACTGGGCAAACGAGTGCGCGTCTGCTGCACGCGCCAATGTGTTTCGTATACGCGGCCGCATGGACTTGGGGACGAAAGTGTCAATGTGTGCATGTGATTGTGCACGTGCTTGACAACTCCGCGCGCCATTAGAAGCGCCAAGGACACGCCACCCCCGACGACAACCGCAAGTCGACCCCC